CCATAAACTTTTGATGCGCCACATATTGAACACGTTCCAGTTTTTGCACGTCACCCAGAATGATTCGACACTAGGCAGGTAAACCGTACTCCAGCATTGTCTTTGTGCTTGGAGAGCAACAATTTTTACAGATCAGGTGCAGAAGCCTCATTTGGACAGCTAACGTATGTGCAGTTTCACCTAGGTTGTTCGTATTGTTCACGGACTTCAATTCGCAGCGTAAGGGTACACCACCGGTTCTGGTTATCAGCAAACTGTCACTCGAAGTGGTGGATCGGCACACTTACCTTGATAGCTGTGTCACCTCTGGTGGTCACATCACTGAAGAGGTTATTTCGCGTATCCGCAAGACCGGTTTGGTTTTTCAGATACTCAACCATCTATGGAGACGGCGGGATAGCAGCCTATCAGTGAAAAATAGGGTGTATAACGCTGCTATAATGCCGGTGTTGCTTTGTGGATCAGAAACCTGGCCGGTTCGCAGCGAAGACATTAAACGCTTGACCATGTTTGACCACTGGTGCTTGCGCAGTATTGCTCACGTCTGGTGGCAACACCGGGTGAGCAACACTGGGGTCTGGCAGTTGGTTTTTGTCAAGAAGCCTTATATTGCCTCACTAGAGTGTTTGCTGAATCTTAACCGTTTACGTTGGCTGAGTCATGGCCTCTGCATACCCGTTGGCCGACCTTCTCTGCGCGCACCATACTCCGTGGCTACACCAAGTTGACGAAATTGCGAGGTGGCCAGTCGATGTCGTAACATAAAGCATGTTGAATCTAATCAAGAGACTTGGTATGGCTAGTGCATTTTGTTGTCATCCATAGTGTCCTCGGGATTGTCCACAGCAGTGATTGGAGACCCTATCAGACATGGCGGAGTCACGCCGTCAAGGGCGTTCCTGCATTCTGTTTCTTGAATTTTGTTGTTAACTTTCCTTCCGTCTCGATCAGTTTGCGCATTTTATTCCATTTTCTCTGCTTTCTATTTACCTGAAACCCTTGTTACTTATTGTTATCCCGGCGACGTGAATCGTTACTTGGATGCGCCACACTTCGGTGCCCGGCTCATAGTCTTTTAACTGATTGATCTGAGCTGATCAGTCACTTGTACTCCTGTTCTCCTCCATGGATTACTTGGTAGCACATATGCCAAATGCTTTCGATCCACACTGATCCATCATACTCTACCACGTTTCTACATCACGTTTTCATCATAGCACACCATTCCAGTCGATGGTGGCGCATTACACACTCGGTGTTGTACCAACTCTCTCCTGCCACGGTGCTATATCGATTCAATTGTTCATGCTGTCATGTAAATCGTAACCTTGTTGTCATTCGCTTGTCGTTGTGACATTGCGCGGCAGTCACGTTCAGCTGCTATGCAGTCTGTGTCATTGGCCTTTGTCGACTACTCCTACCGAAGGGTAGTCCATTAATGGTTTGATTTTTCCTCTGGCCAGCATGCTTCCTTGTGATATTTGGTACAAGCCATCTGATCTCTTTTCTCTTGAGTCAATAATTTCCTGTTCATTGACTTACTCCTTTCTAAATTCACCTTAACGATCTGCTATTCAATTTGCTCAACTTGATTCTACCGTTATTTCTCACCTTCATGATCAGTTCAATTTTGCCATTGTGGGTATCTGCCTCTGCACTGTCAGATGATTCCATTTGGATGTCAACTCTCGCTTTCCGTTGAAGTTACTCGGGTTTGCTTCTAGAAGACCAGTTTGATTACTTGCACGATATTATTGAGGACAGGAAGCTCCATTACTGTCGTTGAAAACCTTGTTAGCCAATGATGAACTTTTGACATCAGTCCCGAATATTCTTATTCCTATCTCAGACAATCCCGTTGGCTCTACTCTTCCCATCTAGAAAGAAATCAGGGTTCTCTTTCCACTCAAATGGCCTTGACCGAGACTCTAGTTCAATGAATGACCGGGTTACTTATTATTGTGCCGCTGAGCACATCTTGTTACACAAAACAAAGCACGTTACTCCAGACGGGCACTTTGTGTTGTTGTTCGTGATTCAGCCCTGAGCGACGTGTTGACCGACCTCAGTTGCCGTCGACAACGGCTGACGACTGGATACGAACCAGTCAAACTACGTGCTGAGCCTGAAGGACTGGTGCTTGTCCTAACATAGTCTCTCTTTTTTGTTTTGATCATGAAACTGAGAGAAAGTGTTTTTAGTTTGCATGGGAACTTCTGTTCCTCATTTCACATAAAACCGCATTACTTTTCTTAGTTCAGTTGATTTCCGTTATCCAAAATCCGGCACTTTTCACCTATACTACTGTGTGCTGAAGCCTGCGAGCAAATTATTTTAATCGATCGGTTAGTTTTTGAGCTCATTTATCAGTGGCGCCTAATGGGCCACTAAGATCCGATGAATGGGTTTTTGGTCGGCTCGTCTCTTTTTAGACCCGTGTATTCTGGTGTCCTTAAAGATCACAAGGTTGCCTTGTAATCCTGAGAGTGCGGTTTCGAATCTGCGTAGGGACCTAGCGACCCTCGCAGTATCCTTAGCCAACGCGCGACTGGTGGTGTTTTCGCGACAGCGAAGCTTCGGTAATGCGTACCGGCATGCTGCTCATGCCTCATAGTTCTTGTGCCCATTAGTTAGTCCTATAGTTCAAGTTGTATGGCCAACACATTTTGTCTCTACTCATGTTGTGCGGTCTACATGAAAAAGACTCACTTTCGAACCATACGAGCAAGGAAGCATCTCTTCCTGATCTTCGCCATGAATGCGCTGTTTTATGGCTAATACCTATCAACCGGAGCACAACAATTGTTCTATCTTTGATAGTCTACTCAACCGACATAATAACGCATTTGCTGGATGCAGAATAGGGGTTGTCCAGTCGTCACTACTACCGTTGCCCATATATTTCCGCCACAGACAGCTGATTTCATGACCTCAAATAACTAAATAAAACAAATGAATTGTTCATTCCGGGACCTACTTTAAACCAGGTGACGTTTTTGCAAAGCTCGATATTTTTCTTCATATTTTCTGCTATTGGGTTGGGTCAGTACTGTTCTCTATTCACTCCGAACAGCTGATTATATCTGGCCGAGATCCTACGAATTCTCATTACATCCGTAGCACCAGAATCATGCATACCAATTCGGTCGACTAAATGGTATTTAACACTTGACCAATATACCTTTGGCAGTGCCACAACACATAGTTAACAACAACAAAAAAAAGGGGGGGGAACGGGTAGTCAATGAAAGGATTTGGAAAGTTTAGAAGGTTAATGTGTTGTGTGGGCAGAGATCTTCCCGGTTGCCCAGGCCGAGGAAGAGGGTTGACTTAAGGGACCCCACCCCGAGCCTTTGGTCTTAAGACCTAACCCGCAAGGCAGCGGGGCGATTAACGAAGACCGTTGACATCCGGGTGGCTCCTTCGCCTTCTTTGTGTTCAGTAGCAATCCACAGAGAAGCCGGTGCCCAGTAAGGTTGTTCATCCGCTCTCCGTTATATACTCACCTCTGGTTACAGTAGTGAGTGGTCAGTGACCTTATAGCCGGTCACATTGGCTTTGACACAGCGCCGTACGAGTTCTTGTGGTATTTGTTGGAGAACCAGGTGACCAGCCCGGAACTCCCCACGCTCTGAGACGCTGCCGCTGATTGTCCGCGACTGCTTATTCATCTCGCCTGCAAGGCAAACGAGACTTATTTGCAGTTACCTCCACAAAGAAGGTATACTCCAATCCGCAACCTGGGGACGCACCTGATAGCGTACAGCTCCGCCACGGGTTTCGGTCGACCAGAGAATGTGCTAGTAATTCACCATCAATTTTCCGAACCCACATCGCCCCCATCTTCGTGGGTCCTCTCACCTGTCTTCACGATTTCAGTCTAGACAAATTCTACCAACGCTCGTCGCTTGTTTATTCTCAAACGTATGCAGTCTGGTTTCTCCCTTGCTTTTCGATCCATCACTGCACTGACTGTGCCCTTGAGAGAGCGTCCCCATTTCTCCATCAGAATACACAGCTACCTGGGTCGAAATGTTGTTCACAGTTTTCTTTACACCACTATGTAAGTGTTACCTCTGGTTACCGCATACCAACCACCAGCTGTATACACTTCTTTAGTGGACTAGATAGTCCAGGCGGTGTTTGTGGTGCCGGTCGTCCACTGGCCATTACATACGGACACGATACCACCTTTTCGGCTAATGCGTCTGTCTTGCCATTATACAATCAGCATCTTACCTCAGTGTTATGTGAAGGATCTGCACTGGTTGACCCATCTCCTTCAGCCATCCGCATCCGCTTTGTTGTTCGCGGCGTCTTCGTCCCATGTGATGAAGCGCTGTGATGGCGCACTGTCGATATGACCACAAAACCAGGGGGCTGGACGACTGAGTGTCATCTTCCTGAATGGGGTCGTCAGAATCGGCTACATCGGTGGTTGAAGTCGTGACACATTTCAGAGATCAGCTGCGTCCTTACCTTCGGCTCACTTCTTCAGGTGATTAACACTTCCATATGGCGGATGTGATTCCTGTCTCCTTTTCGTTAAACTCTTCTCCACTTGTTTTTGTTGACGTGTTCTCTATCATCTTCCTACACCACGTTTTAATCTCATCACGTGACCTGATTCGTGGTACTCAGTCCCACCACATTTCGGCACTCTAGGCTTAGTTGGATAGATGAAAATGATGTAAGCCCTGTTTTCGAACTGCTACCTGAATAATGCTTACCATACAGCATGTGAAGTGAAAACGTTTCGTGTTTTCATTTCAGAAGGCTTGCTTGACAACTGGTGAATCTATTTGTTATACTGCACAACATTTCGCTTTGAACTCAAAAGCTTCTTCGGACGAAGAAGATTGTATTGTCTTTTATTCTCTTATCCGCAGTGGTACTATTTCCCTAGGGAATGTAAGATACCGTATTTAGCCAGATGGATGCCATCTGCCTCCGGATATTTTGGCTTTTACATGTGTATTCTCTATTCTTTTTATTGGTAGCCTACAAGCTGGATCCTTATGCCGCTCCTCTTGATTTGACATCGCAACCGCTTGACTCGTCGTGCACTTCTAACGCGGAATACTGCACTTTCGGTGCAGACTACCGTCCGTATCTCTTCTCACCTGGCATATCTCCTGGCGCATTGTCCTCGCATTCGGTTGGTTTACAATCCACTCCGTGGCCTCCAGCTCCGCTGTGCTCATCCATTGCCTCACAAACGCTCACGGACGATTGGGAATCATGGTTGAACAGCGTTCACACCCAAACAAACACTTCTCCCTTATCTCTGACGGATATGTGTATCGGTGCGAATGACGAATTTCTCCCCGAGCCGTTTGAACAATCCGCGAACATGAACGACGTAGCTTCCCTTATCAACCAGTTTTGATCGGCACACATTGCTTCGACTTGGCAACAATGACTCAGTCCCCTACTAATCTCCGTATCCATGCACAACATTTGGTCCATTTATCTTTGAACATGCCCAGCTAGTAAACATATCAGTCCTCTACCCTCGTTTTTATGATTACTTATTTTCTTACTTCCAATACTCCCCTTCTAGGATACCAGTGTGTACGATTAACTACGTATACATACGATGCGCTTTCACACACCCACGTATATCTGTTTTGGGATTGTCTTTCATACTGCCTCGGCTCTCAACAAACTTGTATGCCTCTTTTTTCTTCGATTTTTGGTTAGTGATGTTAAGAGTTTATCGTCCGTTACTTCCGGAGGAAATACATACGGTTGCGTTATCATATCTACAGATTCGTCATCTTCACTCTTCATTCAGTTAAGGATTTCGGAATCACTGCTCATCTGGAGTCTTCTGGCTATAGTCCGACATGTTATCACACTTTGGTTGAGCGTTGTATGCTGTTCTGGTCATTTGGTTGCGGTGAAATAAGTTGCTTTGACTGCAATTCGCCACATTTGAAAATATTTTTAACGCAGAAAACCTAGAACTCGATGTGAGGGGAGGAGTTAGGTAGTGGGCTACAGCTGCATATGCGGTAGCCAGCTGCAAAAACGTCATGCTGGTTTCCCAGATGGGGACATTGCGGCCTGCTCCTTCGGTCAGTCTCCGGAGCCCCCAATCGTGTTAACTCTTAACCAACTCTACTTGCTGAGATATGCAGCAAGTGGACATACGACTCGTTGCAGTGCGATTGTCTTTCAGTAAGTCCAACTGGTAGACCTCGTCATCATTCACCCAGTGCTATCCCAGTTAAGTGACTATGGTTGGACATCTTTGATCAGATACAACTTGTCTGCTTTAACAAATTCCTTGATCAGGCTGCGATATTATGTTCCCCATCCCATAAATTATCCCCAAATATATGTGGCAAGACCTTTGTTACTGCTCATGTGTTTGCATCGATCTACTCCGTCTATTGTTTCTCCAGTAACCGTGGGAATTAGATATGTGTCCGCTTAGTCTCGCCACGTCACATGCATTTACTGACCATCTCAGGCTATTCAACCGCTCTTGCTTGGTGTCCAGGTCTGAGGTTAAAAGGACAGTATGGGCTGAGTCTACTTACCAATCATTTGGCGGTACTGCCACTGTAGACAGGTCAACTAGGATGGTCCATTCGTCCCAGTTTCGATCTCATTGTCAAGAAGTAAATCAAATATGCGAGGCCTTGGTCCCCTCTATTGTGAGGGACTGGAGAGAATCTTATCCGTAGGACGTTGCACAACTCAGCATCCCAATTCAGTCAATATCGTATGAATGAATCTTAGCGAAACATCTTCAGCCATTGCAGCGCTGAATCAAATGAAGAAAGATGGTCATGAAAACCGTCGTTGTGTGACGTTCAACTGCATGCTGGATGTCGATTCATGCTTGTCTTAGACTGCTAGGGGCGAACTGCCGGGTGTGTTTGGTTCACTTGCTTTTTTCCTTCTTCGCTGATCCACAGTGGAGTGACTGCTGCACGCATTCCGGTGATGCGTTTTACACGCCAGTCCATCTTTTTTCACGACGTTCTAATGGGAAATTTATCACCTTCAATCATTTCCGCCTTACACTGCGTTGTGACAGTACGAGGATGCAGATCAGCCACAGTAGAGTTGCCACCCTCTATCAGTGGCACTGCAGACTGTCGGATCCGGGCATCCTTTTGCCGTAGGTTCTCTGCGGCTGGAAAGCTGATGCATAAACAGCCCGGTTGTGCCGGAGAGACAGCAGGCCACTTGAGCTGCTGCTCGGAATGCTGTACTCATTGTTTAATTCAACATGCCGAAGAGTTAAGAAAACTTCATTTCTCTAATTGGTGACTCTATTCGGCGTATGTTCTCGATAGCTTGAAACCGAAATCATCTGTTTCGGATGACACCAGAATCCTCTCTCACTAACCTCTAGCATCCAGCTACACATTCCGTCAACGCTATGATTGTGTGAGACGTCGCTTCGCTATTTCCATTAGATTAAGCGATGCACATTAATTATGGTAACATTTTTGCTTGTCATCCTGATTAGGAAAGCGGCAGATTTGCTGATTCCCTCAACTTTTGTAATCAATTCTAGTAGATTTTTACTTCGTCCATCCGGCTGCCTGTTCTAGAGTCCAACTCTCTACTGATTCTTCGTATGTCCCTTAGATATCCTTGTAATATGTCGTCTGGTTGCAACCGGAAGAACAACCGTGTAGTCGAGAGCTAGACCCAGTTTGACCTAGAGCTTGGACCTATCGCACCATCCTTATGATGGTTGCTTGATTTTCATGTTAATCCAATTCGGAATATTATAAACAATAAGTTTCTGGCGATCAGTTTCTAGTAAGCTCTGCCAGTTTGCGTTTGGGAAACTGTCACTAGATCTTGCTTTAAATTGGAGTCACACTGTACTACCTTAATTTCATCAGTAATAAAAGATTTCAACCCAATTGTCAGATAGTTGTAGATCACACCACTGAGCTGCTTAGCTACGGAGTACGTATGCATGTCATGGCGAAGCCAAACTGGTCTCCGTGACGCTCAAACAGCAGAAGCAGGAGAATATACCATTTCTAGGTGGGTTTTAGAGTAAATATACATTGCCTTAAGCAAGAGTGCACTTCCAAGAAACTGTCATTCTCATCATCCGGAAATGTCAACATGAAAAATTCCATTTGTATGTTCATTGAAATTTACCATGGATATCTATATCATCCCATTTCTACGGAAGTCCTGAGACCTGTCTTGCGCTTAGGTCGTGATCAACACCAATGGTGATTTTACTGCCCTAATTCTCATCAACTTTGGTCTACATTTTATAAGAAATCAGTGGAGTCAACATATTCCCACCGGTTCAACCGCGACTTAGATAAGCTATCAGCCTCCGTACTGTTTCAGCGATGCCTGGAATTCCCCCTTGGTACCTAATTTTCTGATATGCGTCGGTTGTTATTATTGACTCGTCTCGCTTCGTTAGCATTCAGGGGTCCAAATGTAACCTAAGCCTCACGCTCAATCACAGATGTTATCTTCCTATCCTTTGTGCTGCGCCTTGGAGTCAACATCATCCAGGTCGAGCTAACGGGGCTCCAACACCGACCACTACTACGTCATCAAACAAGGTTTTAATCAGCTATGTGGCGAGTGGAAAAAGGCAAGGGTATCACAGTGCTTTGTCCCTGTAATCGGAACGGCAAATATCCAAGACTCGGGCATAGTAATCACCTGTACATATGACTCCGTTGCGCTAATTTTAATTGCATTCACAATGTCCCCCTAAGATAAATCCGACAGAATGAAAAAAGAGAATCGTAACCGCAACCTTCACTATACACCACTCAAGTTGGAAGAATAACGATACCTAGCCACCGTATCCATAAGCAGAACAAATATGCGCGTGTTCGTATCACAGTGACCAACCATTTTCTGTCAGGCGCATTAATCGAGGTCGATGCGTTCCAATTACATCCTACAAAATGAGTGACTACTTGATGCAAACCGTGCAATGAATCAGAAATGGTACTCAAAGATAAACAAATTGTAATTGTTGAGCATATTCGTAGCTCATGGTGTAGATGCGAATTTTACAAACGTTTCATTGCCAGAGTAGGCAACATCATCCGTGTGACTTCAACGGTCTGGTTCGCGGAGTCTCATAAGCGGCTTTGAGATCCAATTGCTTATTGCTTGAGTTATGCAGAACTCACAAGTTGTTTCCTTAAGGCAGTGGTTCCCAACCATTTTGAGGCCGTTACCCCCAAAGCGGGTTCACTATAAGCAGTTACCCCACAAACTTTCTGAAGCCAATTATCTAATTACTATCGCACTTTTTGCTTTAAAGTACGGAAAGTGAATACCATATGTAATTACTTTTGATCATGTAAATAGAGAAAACCCCATTTTGAGCAATTTATCATTAAATCAAGTGGTCATGAGTAAACAGTATCTTGCATATTTGGTGCGGTTTCGACTAATGCAGATCGCAAGTCGTGTAGTGGTGTTCAGTGATTCACAGAACAACCACTCTTCTTTAGAGTCGTCGCCTTTTATGCACCGAACATAAGCCAGTAGCTCGAGACAAGATGTCACGTGGGTCCGCTCATCTGAGTGTAGTGCGAAGAAGATATGACATTCTTTCATTAAATACCACGTCCAAAGTATTCTTGCTTATGTCCTGAATGCGACTTTGATGATGCTGTTAGAAAGCGATATCGCACTTACTTTTCCGCATGTTGGTGTACACCAGCGGTTCTTAACCTCTTTGAGGCTGTTAGTCACAAATCGGGTTCACTATAATCACCCCCCGCAATTTCCATTTCAAACGCTAACCGACGAATAACCATAGCACATTTTGCTTCTAATTACGGGAAGTGATCGCCATTTGGAATTACTCTCGATTAATAAGAGAGGACAGTTATTTTGGCACATTGTATTCAATCAAAAGGAGATATATATCAGTGAGACGGTTGATATTGCTTAGCGTTAAAAATTTCTGATATATTTGGTGCAGTTTCGGCCAATGCACATCGTAACTCGTGCTCCAAGTTCATTCGCTTTCTTGCTTTTCATTGTCACCTTTGTTGAAAATCCATTTTCACATCTATAACTTGTTGCGAATGATAACAATTTTCTCAATGCTCTTTCCAATATCAATAAATACTCACTACCAGTTGTGTGCTTTGGAAATTTATTTTCAATTCGCTATCTTCGCGCATTTCTAGGAATTGTGCTTTGACTTCGATTCCAGTATCCGGAAACATTTCTTCATCCGCTGTATAGGGACTTTGCGCCCAGGCATTTACTTGGCGGTTTTCCAAATCAGGTACATATTTCCTAATAGAATGCACACCTGATGAGAAGTGGTAAGTTATATCATCTGTGAAGGTGCATTTCTTCCAACGAGCACCATTGTTAGTTCTGGAAGCATCGATACGTCGTCATTCGTAGTCTGTGTTGGTAAAGCTGCAATTTGCGAAGAAAACTGGTAACTCTATCCTGAGCAGTTAAAATATTACTCATATTTCCTTGCAAGCTGAATTTCGGTGCATTTATTTCTGCGAAGGAATCCGCAAGATATTCTACTCTGGAAATAAATACGTCTACGTTTGTTATCATGACGTGTAACCCCTTCCCCTTATGCGGCTTCTTCCTTTTAAGAAACATTACAATTTCTTCTCGAGCACTCAATGCAACACTGTCTCATGATAACCAACACACTTCTGTGTGCAATAACAGCACATCGAATTTGTCTCCAAATTCATTGCACAGCTCTTTGCAAACTTGTATAGGTCGTATTACCGCCGATGACATTTACTAT